TATTTTTATTTTATAATATATGAAAAATTCAATTCATTTTTTTTGAAATAATTTGAATAATCATTTTTCTAGTCTTTCTCTTTGTAATATTTCCATCAATCTTATTTAAACTAATTCGAATTAATTCGAACTATTTTAATTATTTTTAAATCAATTTAAAATTTTTATATTTTATTTGAATTTTATTAATCTATTTTGAATTATTTCAAATTAATTCAAGTGTAATATTTTATAATATATTTCGAAATATTGTAAAATTTTTTATACAATATTCCATAAGTGCTATATTTTGCAATATTTTGAAATATTTTACATAATATTATGGTGTTTTTATGGTACATAAATTATTTCACAATATTATGCTCTATTTAATTTGCTAATATACTATGGCTAAATAAAACAATATACTATACAAGTATCTCTGAGTGTTTCTATACAAAGCGTTTCTGAGTATCTTTATATAAAGTACCTTTATATAAGTGCCTCCGAATATCTTTACACAAAGTATCTCCAAGCAGTGTTGTATATAGGACATGTTCACACTATATAAAATATTCAATATTCAAGATTGTTCAAAATTGTCCAAGCCTATATTTTAAATTTAAATAATCAATAAAGTAATTTAAAAAAATATATAATTATATATTTTTTTAGATACTGGGTTTATTTATAAAAAAATTAAAATAGATTATCTCAATAAAATTTTGAGTAATTTTAATTTGAAAAAATGTTTAAAATTGTCTAAAATTGTCCCATGTACAACACTACTTTCAAGTGCCTCTACACAGAGTATCTTTAAATACTTTTACACAAAGTGCTTCTAAGTGTCTCTATACAGAGTACCTCTAAGTACTTTTAAGTATCTTTACACAAGTGCCTCTATACAGAGTATCTTCAAATGCCTCTATACAAAGTGCCTCTATACAGAGTGTCTTTAGATGCCTTTGTACAAGTGTCTCTAAGTATTTCTGCACCATATAGCAATTATACAATTACACCTCTATCTATAAAAAAGTTATAAAAAGAGAATCTTGTCTCTTCTACCCAAGTTAGAATTCCCCTGCTCTTATAGAGAGTTAGAGTTCCCTATACTTTCATAAAGAGTTAGAGTTTTCTACTCTCTTATAAAATCTAGTCTTACCCCTTTCTTTTTTTTATTTGTAAAGTGTGATATTCCCCCTCTAGAGTAATTTCTACAAGCAAGGTTATCACTGTGAATCTGTTATTAATAAATATTATTATCTATAAACTATTATTATCTTAAACCATTTACCTCCTGCTGTGAAGTTAAAGTATACACTTCACATCCACCCCGTGTATATTCAGCTATAATTATACTAAGAAGGCTATAGCATTGTAACAATACTTTATATAAGCACATTATAATTATATATTTTTTGCATAAAACAGTGATTATAAAGAAGTAAAGCTATACAATAGTTAAAAACTTATATTTTTAATATTTTAAATTTATTAAGTGATTTATTTTTCAAATTTAGAAAACTGACATTGTTCTTTCTATCAACCCTCTACTTGATGCATCAATATCAATAATAATTCTAGGTCATTCAAAATCAAAATGAATAAGTCATTGGTTCATAATACGTCTATAGCAAGCTAAGAACTTTTCGCCCTTATTACGTTCCACTTTTTTGCCTTCTTCAGTCTCAGTTCTGACAAATGGGATGACCGGATCTTTCTCCTATATATGATAATGGATAAATTTATCATAAAGATCGTATTTTAACTAACTACACATTACATTTAAAAGTTTCTTACCACTTCTTCATCTGGTATTCGTTCAAAAAGTGGATGTTCGTCCAAATGTTTAACCATCCATTCATGCAAATCTTTCACATCTGATATAGTGTAGATTATACCACCAACACGCAAAACATATGCATATTCTGCTAATAATTGATTTCTATAATATATACTTGATAATTAATATTTGCGCTATTTAATGGCCTTATCTAAATTTAGGTTTAGATCATCTGATTCGGTATTAACAAATACTAGTCGACTTATCTATCATAAATTACTGTAAGATTGTTTGTGCTTAATAAGCAAGCTATGACTCAATTAGTAAAATTTTAATTGATTGTAGAGAAAAAAATCTATCAGTGCCAGATCAATCTACCAAAAATTTTGAGGTCCATTATGTATGAATTTGAGTCATAGATTGTTGATTCAGTTCGATGATTCAAACTAAATTCAAATATGATTCGAACTTAATTTGATTCAAGAATGACTCAAATCAGTTCGAAGTAAACCTTGGCTGTTCGACCAATTCGATGATCCAGACAAAAGACCTTAGTCTTATCGATGATCTATACTTACGTTATAACCCTGGCTTTATGTTTTCGCGCCTTAAAATGTGGATCCGGAAATAAGAAGAACATTTTCGATAGCTTTTACAAATTTGATTATATGTTAAATTCTTTTTCTAAATTACGGACGCATTATTAATGTATTGATAAATGCCTTCCATTTACCTGCCCTTTTTCAAAGAAATTTGGCAAAAATTTCATAACATTCATTCTTATTATAGAAATATTCTGATACTGTCCTGGATGTTGTAGTCTTAACGCAATAATTTTTTCACGTACATATTCTTCAACTTTTACGCGGATTTCCATGCCTAAAAATTGCAATATTGGAAAAATCTATTATTTGTAAATAAATGTTAAAGATTAGGACTTACCTAGCATTAGAGTCTCTGGATATAATGGCGAAAGTGAAACAAGTAAACCACCATAACCACAGCCTAAATCAGCGAATTCAACTTTTTTTTTCATGAGTGGCCGACCCACTTGTTTGATGGGCACATTACATGATTCAATAGAATTCTCTTCAGAAACGAACGCTGGGTAATGAGTGGACCAATCCATTTCAGCAGGGCTTATCGGACTAATTAATTATGAACTTTTAAATGTAAATATATTCTTCTTAGTAAACAAGGACTGGAGAAATGTTACTTGCTAGTCAAGATGATGATCTGAGAAAGGATTAGAGTGTGCTCGTTGACGAAAAAATTTCTTCTACAAAGGATTCGAAAAAAACTCGTAGTAAAATGTTGTAGCTAATTAAAAAGCCAGTGGAATGTTTTTTCACCTGTGGAAGTTTTCCGGACATTATTGTGCGAAATTTGACGGATAATTGTCTTCGCTTCGAATAAAAATTATTAATGATCATATCAGATAAGGGGAATTCTTTGTGTATTAAAGATTATCAATTTTCACGAGCAAGATTTGATCATCCAATCAAAATTCCATATTAAATAGCACAGTACAGCGAACTTTTTACCAAACCAGAATAACAATAATGTGTTGTACAAAAAAAAGCTACTTTTGCAAGGATTTACAAGCTTGCAGGAGCGTTTTTTGGACTGTATGATACTTTTAAAGATTGTACTTTAGTTGAATTTAATTCTGTACAGCGTTAGGATCCTTTAAGTATGTGTTCGGAATCCAAATTTTCTCGATTCTTATATTCCTTCTTTACCTCGTTTAAGCACTTATAAACATGAACTAACCAAGTAATGCACAATTTAGCCATCCTTTTCATCATTTCGAAAAATGTCTAGTAAATACAGTGCACTTCCCGACATTGTAGGTTACTTTTACGGCTTAATATAGAGTTGTATGTTTCTGAAGTTTAAGAATCACGTACATCGAGGCCTAATTATCAATCCCAAAACAGGACACTCAGCCTGACGTGTACGAGACACCCGATACTGGCGAAGACGCAGAAGTTTCTGACGACGGTGTAAGTATTTACATATGCATTCGTTTTCTAATTAAAAGTTAAGTACCTATATATGCACTTTGTATTTGCATTTCCTTTAATTAAGCCCTTTCTTTCTTTTTTTTTTTTAATTAAATTAGTTTCCCAGTCTTGAAGAACAACAGAGCGAGGATATTGTTAATGATAAAATTACCGTTGGCGATGCTGTTGATAAATTTAAGGAAAGCACTGGTGAAGTTGCAGAAACAGGTAAATATAATTTATTGGTTGATATATCTGTTTGTATTAGCAACTGTTTAATTCTCAAATTCGGTTAATAGATGCTGAGAAAGCCATTCGATATAAAAAACAATTGTATAAACAATATGTGAAGCGACCTCCTTTGGAATATGAAATTCTTCCAAGAGATCCTGCATTACAGGAAACTTCTTTGCAAAAATTGAGAAGATTGATGTATGAGGTACAGGAACTTAATGAAGAAGTAGAAAAAAAGAAGGTAATCGGTCATCTACTTATACAATTATGTCTGTTTAAGACACACACTTATCATAATTGATTCATTAAGGAGGAAGCTTCAATAAATCAACCTAATCATAATGCACTAGCATCGCAAATATCGAATCTGCAAGAAGATCTATCTCGTATTAATCAATCCTTAGGTGATTCTGATCCCATAGATGAACAAGAGGGTTCAATAATAAAGCAAGCCGAATTGGGTAAAAAATTAATTCACCAATTGCAGACTTTCAAAAATATTGGTATGCCCAAAACAAATGGAACGGCAGGAGAAACAAACGGAATTGGTGAAAGCGTGATAGGGCATGCTCCTAACGCCGAGGCTGAGAAAAATGTAAGTTTGGTTTATCCGTCGTTCGTGCACCATTAAATTAATTTTGTCATTATTAAATTATACTATTATTATTTTTATTATTATTATTATTATTTTGTACAATATAGATGGTCACATATGAGTTGTTTTATTCACCTGAAACTACACGAGTTCATACCTTAGCCAAGACAGCTGAATTGGATGAACGTATTTCTGCTTTGGAGAAACTCGTAGGCACAGCTCATGGGCAAAATTTCGAAGATCTTGTAGGTTATCATTTAAATTTGTCACTTTGTTATTTAAAATTTGTTAATTTCTACGTTAAATGCCTGTTATTCTTTTCCTTTTCATCGATTCTATCGGGTCGATTAAAAAGTCAATTTCTATAACAAACACCAACCTCATTGCTGCTGTCGATAAACTTGATCAGCATATGCAACTGTTGGCACAGACTCGTCATTTGGAGTCTGTTTCTCGAAAAGCAAAAACTCTTGTCGGAGAATTAGAAAAAGTGAATGAATTGAAGAGTAAAGAATTTATGAATGGCGCTGTCATCGATTTTGATACCAAAGAAAGAGTTTGTATTGGTTTATTTTCTATTGGTTTTATAAACAAATACAGTCATCCTCTATATTAGTCACCACCTAAAAGCAATTATATAAAAATCTTGTATCATATTTGTACTTCAAAAACAAATACCATTTAGCCTATAAAAACGTACCCATACATAGGCAAATTTTTTTTATTTTTATATTTTTTAACCACTTAATTATAAAGAAGGATGACTGTAATTGCTGTTGTTGTGTCACGTGATTTGAGGACGATATTAATATGTCTACGTCTTTTTCGTCAAAAGATCAATTACCTTTTCGCCCTTTTAGACAAGGTTGATCCACTGATTTCCATTGCACCAGCTTTGGTCAATCGGTTGAAATCGCTGCAACAATTACATCAGGAGGCCGCGGTATTTAGTGATACTATCAAGATGATATCTGATGAACAAAACAAAATTCGTGACGAGTTGAAAAGTCTGAATGAAGTTTCTGAAAACGTAAGTAACGTAGTTTACTGTTTAAATAATTCATCTTCTGTTGCATATGGTAACGTTTATTAATTATTATTGATTTATAGCTTGATAAGTCTTTCAAGGTTAATGAAGATTCCATTCAACAAAACATCAGTATCATGGATGCTCGTGTTAATGATCTTGCCAAACGGTTAGAAAAGTTAGGAGTGAAATAAAATTACGGACATGATATATACAGTATATATTCTATCTATCCAAGAAATACAAATTATGTAATTGTATGCAATATAACGAGTGAAAATTAATTATGTAATAGAAATGATTTTCCAGTTAGTTCATCGTATATGTTTTTTTTTTTAATTTATCAAAGGCATATTTGTAATAGAGCTGTGCTCAGTATCATATTTTCTTCTATAGCTGGATTGCTACCTAACGTGTGCATATTTTTAACTTGTTATTTCGAAGAAATCAAAGATATTTAATATGTAAACGATGAGTTTATAGCAAAAAAATATCAACACCTTTATTTAGATGTATTTGGAATCTTTAAATCCTAAAGTTTCTACAAATTGGTCTTATTTATATATTAACTATTATTTAGTCTTATAAACACATGTCTATAACATTAAAATCTAAAAACTCATGCTATGATGTTAAATACGATGAGGAATATTTTTCTGAAGAAAATATTACACAGTATATCAACTTTTCCCTAGCGCATCAGTACAGTATTAGAGATACAAAAGCGAGCATAAAAATTGTCTTCTCAGTGGTTTAATAATATGAACTATTATTAGTAAAAACCAACATGAACATTTATGTTCTTACTTTCTTGAATGCAAAACCTATATATATCCCTTTAAAAGATAAATACAAACTTTAAATTAGTACTTTAATTCAAAAATTTAAAAAAAATTATATATATATAAATTTTACCTGCAGCTTCCCATTCTGCATCGCTCATCTCACTAGGCTCTTTGCGTTTAATTACAGACATTTTGTACAATAGTTCGCGATATTGCGGATCCTCTTTTGATTCATTATATATATCGTGAAATCTCTTTTTGTATATTAACTCTAAGCCATATTCCCTTGCCATCCTGAAAATGTACAAACAATAAATATAAATAAAATTGTAAAGAGCAAAACAGATTTCTTAAATACGTAGTGACATACTTTTCAAAGGTTGGAAAATGGACCAAATATTCAGGACAGTCGTTTATGGCATCCTCGAGGTTAAACCTATATTTGTGACCAAAGGTCGGAAATTCATGTTTTTGTTCGAATACTATAGAATATATCGAATTACCAAATTCCAACGCCTTTGGATCTAAAGTTTTTAGTTTTTTGCTAAACCGATAAGAAAAATCACATATATTAGGATAAGATTGTTAACTAATGAGAAACGAAATATAAATTCTTACACGATCCAATTGGCATCAGTTACAGTGCCAATAAACAATCCACCTTCTTTTAAATTAGAAGAAGCATTATTTAAAGCCATGCGTGCTTTGTTTTCTGTTTCAAATGAGTAATGAAGACAAAATTGCATGCTGACGACATCAAACAGTTTATTTTTTATAGACGCAATTGAGGTGATCGGATTCTAATTGTATAACATATAATTTAAATTAGTAATTGAAGCTAGGTAAACTGATATTGATAAATAATTGAAAACTAAAAGCTCACAGAAAAACAATCTAAAACATGGAATTCGGCATGGAATCCAGCAGGATGTTTACCGCCTATTACAAAGAAATTTTATTAGTTTATAAAAATGATTATTTTAAGTAATCATAATGTAATTAGATCATTCATACCTCTAATATTCTCCCAACGCTTTTTGGCATCCTCAATTGATACATTAGAAAGGTCTAGAATAAAAATTATAATTTTTCAGCCCTACTAAATATATTGAATAACTAAATAGTGATATGAGGTATTTAGCTCATAACATACCAAGACCCACAAGTGTAGAAATCTTTGCAGCCTTCCATTTAAGGAGATCACCACCTTTTCCACA